CGCAGTACAGCCCCATAGTCAGATTAAAAAAAAAATCAGTGGATGGCTGTTTACTGACTGGTCGGCAGACTGCCGACCGGTCGGAAATCAACAGCTAAACAGTACCGTATTGGAGGGCAGTACAGCAACTTTTTCAAGTTTACAGCAGCTTCTGACAACTCCGAATACTGTACCAAGCATTTGCAATAACCCATGCAGTATGCCTCGTGGAATGTCTGAGGGCCTTGCCAGGCTGCACTCAAACCCAGGCCGAAACGGGGAAAAGAACCCCAAAGGTCCCCAAGTAAAGATTCAGGGCCTGGACGAGTGACAGTTGACTAAAGTCAACTGTTGGACGCCCAACAGTCATAGTCAAAGTGTACCCAGCCCAGGCCGCCGGTCAGACGCACACACTTGTTTGTATGCAGGTACCCAGACGACATCAGGACCAAAGGGAAGACTGCAGCTGTATGCAATCCAGGCCCTCGGCTGTGAGTCAATCTGGACGACTGTGGGTGGGGGACCTGATGCCAGACAGCCTCGCCAAATGCTACATAAGGCTTGGTCTCCGTGTGGTCAACATTCAGTCTTGCTATGCTGCTTTGACGCTGGCTTGACTCTGGCTGGACGCTGGCATTGACGCTGGCTCAACGCTGGCTTGACGCTGGCTGTGCGCAGGCACTGTGGACGACGACGCGGGACTGTGGCTGCATGCTGGCGGTTTCTGTTCTGTGCGCCAGACATGTGGCACATGCCACTTGTCTACATTGCTGATGTGGCGCATGCCACTTGTCTACATTGCTGATGTGGCGCATGCCACTTGTCGACATTGCTGATGTGGCGCTGCCACCTGTCTTCATTGTTGATGTGGTGCATGCCACCTGTCTCTTCTGCTGACGTAGCACTGGCCACGCTGTCTACAAGAGGTGACTGGTTGCGATAACGAGGGAGATCGGGATCTGTGGATGATCGAAGGAGGGGGTACTTACCTGAGCCTGATGTCGATATTGCATGCTGCTGGTTGTCTTCATTGTCTCCATGGAAGAATAGTGCCACGTGGCACTTCTAAGTGATCAGGACTTATCAGACTTGTTACTGTTTATTAATTGTTGATGTGGAAGGAGAGGAAGCCCGGAAAAGGAGTGGGAATTGATTGTGTTGTTTCTCTTCCACCCTCTCCTCTGTCTATTCCCCCTCCACTCTCTTCGTCTATTGGTAAGATATTGTATCAGATGTCACTTTCACGTTAACTCGAGATATCGTAGAGATCTGAGACTACTTGTACTTCGACGTCTGATGAGTATCTTCCAATCTGGGTTCATTACACATTGTTGGAGTTTCATTAATAAGGACTGGCACTTCTCCATTAAAGCAAACAGGTCATCTGCAAAAGCTTTGACTTTGCATTCCTTGTGCTGTACCTGAAGCCCTCTGAAGCCCTCTGAAGCCCTCTGAAGCCCTCTGAAGCCCGGATGGGAACACAACATATATTGTTCATGAGAGCTTCCAGCCAAAGAACAAAACTGAGTAGGGCCAGCAGACACCCCTGCCGCAAAGAGCAAACACTACAAAAGCAGGGGAGATCATTCGACTGACCATCACCGAAGCTTTGGAGAGGTCATGAAGGGAAATTACCCACCTTCTTAAAGTTTGCCCTCAAACCAGGGTGTCTGAGTGTAGTTACCACATATGCCAAGTTTGCCTGGTCATAGCATAGGCCTCCAAAATTCCAAATCCATTAGGGGCACCACTAGTTCGAAATTGTCTTTCTGCACTATCTACAAAAGACTCCAAAGCTGTAATAACTGAATAATAATGTCACAAAACAACTCAGTAAAAACTCAGACCATTCACGCTGAAAAGCCATCGGGTCATTGGAGAAAGCTTGTAGCCACATCAAAATGGCTACAGGCCTGGTGCCCAAGGGTACCTCATTACTGCGGAATCTCTCATCTCTGAAAACCTGAAGCTCGCTGCTGATGAAAGCTACGGGAAACGAGGAAACCGATATCCTATCTACCCCTCCCCCTCCTTTCGTGTATAGAAAGTACCGATTCTAGGAGGGAAACCGATATCCTATCTACCTCTCCCCCTCCTTTCGTGTATGGTTAAAACAAGAGAAACCCATATGCTCTACCCCTCCCCCTCCTTTCGTGTAAGGCTGAACCACCGGTACCCATATCAGCTGCCTTTTCCATGCTACATGGAGGCCTACCTTCTTCCCCCGAATACAACGTACGGTCATTATGGCTGTATCTGGACTGAAAGATGCTTCAAATACAGCTATAATGACCGTACGTTGTATTCGGGGGAACAAGGTAGTCCAAACTGTGACACTGAGGAGGCCCATGATTTCTGATGGAACTGTGGAAATTTCTGCAGATCCTCCTGAAAACATGGAGGCCAATAAAAAATTGAAGCCCAATTAGGTACTCGTGGTTTCGTGTGCTGCTTGAAACTGTCCATGAATGACCATCCTCTGCTTTGCAGCGACGTTGACCCACTTGGAATAACTCCCAGCCAAGTACTTGGTTAAAAAGAGGCAATCCTTCATCATCTAGCATTCTGGCTACAGCCTATAAGCCTATAAATGATCTTCCCCACTGGATTTGTTGCATCCTCTTCTTGTGTGATATGGGTGGAGTTTAACAGAACTTGCATTCTGGCTATTGGCTATTGGCTGTCTGCTGTCTTCTTGTGTTATATGGGTGGAGTTTTAACAGATCTTGCATTCTGGCTATTGGGTGTCTGCTGAATTCTCTTGGATTGAACACTGCACTGATGTTGCACAGCCTTGCCGCCACCATCAGCCAGGAGCAGCCCAGATGATGAACTGGGGTCAGGAGCATTTTCTGATGTCACTTTATCGCCCAAATCATCTCGAGGAGTAACACCACGAGGAAGACTGGAACAGGATGGTGATGATACAGTTAGCATTCAGAGCCGGAAAAGCTCAAAGAAAGCAGATAAGAAGGAGAAAGTGGTCTCCAAGAAGAAAGGGGAGGACAATGATGATAATGTTAGCACTCACAGCCGGAAAAGCGGGAAAAGCACAAAGAAAGGAGATAAAAAAGAGAAAGTGGTTTTCAAGAGTGATGGGGAGAACACTGATGATAATGCTAGTCCTCGCAGCCACAAAAGCTCCAAGAGATCAGATAAGAAGGACAAGAAGAAAGGAGACAAAAGGTCCTCCAGAAAGAACAAAGCGCAGACCGAGGACGAAGAGAATTGGAAAGAGCCCCCACCTCCTCCGTTGCCGCCCATCATTACGGTAAGCAGATTCAGACATTGCAACAGTTCAACCTTCACACTTGGGCTCAGTTCTATGCTTTTCCTTCTCCTTCATCTCCATCCTCCTCCTCCTTCATATTTCTTATGGGTAGATCTCCGTCTTTCTAGAATTACTGACGTGGATTTCAGTCTGTGTTTGCCCTGTGTTATAGTGCATTTGCCTGACTTTTCTGCGTATGCATGCTGGCACTCATTCTCATTTGCAATCTTGCACGGTTCTTGTACGTGACTACTTCGTTTTAAAGTGTAACCCGGGTCTCGTGTGACGCTCCCGCGAGGCCCGGGTTACACTGTTGGGAAAACGCCCGGGATGCGAAGAGCGGGCCCAGCAGAAACCATCACCGGCGTGGCAACTTCTTTTCGTGTGGCGGCTTTTTTTCCCCTCCCGGGTTACAATGTTGGGAAAAACGCCCGGGATGCGGAGAGCGGGCCCAGCAGAAAACGTCACCGGCGTGGCAACCTTTTCTTCGCTGAAATTGTTGTTTTTTCTTTGGCCGTCGTCGCTCGAGTTTGAAGGCCCATGCACTTTTTCATTCCTGCGCAGCGCTTTCTTTGTTTCCGTGGCCGTGGGAGTTCAAGGCTGGTTCCATTCGCGCCCATGGGAGTTCAAGGCCGCTTCCATTCGCACCCGTGGGAGTTCGAAAGGCCCATTCGCGGCCATGGGAGTTCAAGGCCGCTTCCATTCGCGGCCATGGGAGTTCAAGGCCGCTTCCATTGGCGGCCATTGGAGTTCAGGGTCGCTTCCATTTGCAGCCGTTTTCAGCGTGGGAGTTAAAGGGTGCGGTGGCGCTTTGTTTCCATTCGCGCTGTTTGAATACAAGTTCATAGCATAGCAGCCCTTTTCATCGCGTTCGAGGCCATAGCTGCGCGTCTTAGCATGTTCGGATTCAATGCACAAAAGACAGAAAGGATATGGAGACTTACATGTTCTCTCTCCCCTCTCTCTCTCTCTCTCTCTCTC